GTGTACTTATGCGCGTGTGTGTACATATGCGCGTGTGTGCACATATGTGTGCGTGTGTATACATATATGTGCGTGTGTGTATATGCGCGTGTGTGTACGTGTGCGTGTGTATACATATTTGCGTGTGTGTACATAAGCGCGTGCTTGTGTTTGCACCCCACGTACACACAACCCCCCCCCCCCCCTCCACGGGCGGGCGCGGCTCCGAACCCAGCAGGAGCGCGAACGAAGCCGCCTCCAAGAAGTAAACACATACCTCAAGCTTAATGTTAAGCAAACTCCTGCTCTATCTCCTCCTCCTTCTCCTCCTCTCCTCCTCCTCCTCCTCCTCTCCCTCTCCTTCTCTTCTCCCTTCTCTTCCTCTCGCCCCCCCTTTGCATACCTCTATTCTCTTCTTTCTTCACACTTTTTTCTTCATTTCTCTTTCTCCTCTCTCCTTCTCGTCTCTCTTCATTTCTGCTACTCTTCTTTCTCTTTCTTTCACTCTTTTTCTTCATTTCTCTTCCTTCGTTATCTTCCTCTTCTTTCTTCACATCGCTTTCGCTCTCCCTCCTTCCTCCTCACCTTAACACTTTCTCTTCATTTCTACTTCCTCATTATCTTCCTCTTTCTTTTTCACACCTTTCTCTTCATCCCTCCTTTCTCCTTCTTTCCTCACACCTTTCTCTTCATTTCTCTTTCCTCCCCCTCTTCCTCCTCTTTCCTCACACCTTTCTCTTCATCCCTCCTTTCTCCTTCTTTCCTACACTTTCTTTCATTTCTCTTTCCTCCTCTTCCTCCTCTTTCCTCACACCTTTCTCTTCATCCCTCTTTCTCTTTTTCCTCACACTTTTCTCTTCATTTCTCTTTCCTCTCCCTCTTCCTCCTCTTCTCACACCTTTCTCTTCATCCCTCCTTTTCTCCTTCTTTCTCACACCTTTCTTCTTTCTCTTTTTCCCTCCTTTCTCCTCTTTCCTCACACCTTTCTCTTCAATTCTCTTTCTCCTTCTTTCCTCACACTTTTCTCTTCATTTCTCTTCATATCTTCCTCTCTCTTTCTCATTCATCCTCCTTTCTCTTCTTTCCTCACACTTTTCTCTTCATTTCCTCTTTCTCCTCCTCTTCCTCTCTTTCTACACCTTTCTCTTCTCCCTCTCTTTTCTCTCTTTTCTCTTCTCTCTTTCTTTTCTCCCTTCCCTCCTCTTTTTCAAATTCTCTCCCTCCTCTTTCGCCTCCTCCTCACATCCTGTCCTTCATCTCTCTTTCTTACTCCTTCCTCCGCCTAATCTCCCTCTCCCTTACATCTTCCTCCTCCTCTACCCTCTCTTCTCCTTCCCTCCCTCCCCTACCCTCCCTCCCCCCTACATTCTTCCTCTCCTTCCCTCCCTCCTTCCTCTCTCCCCTCCCCTCCTCCTCCTCCTCCATGACCTCCCTCCTCACTCCTACCTCATCCTCCCTCTCTTCACTGCCACCCACTTCCCTCCCCACCCTCTTCCTCCTCTCCTCCTCTCCTCCTCCATGACCTCCCTCCTCCTCCTTTCCTCCCTCTTCCTCCTTTCCCTATTCTCTCCTTCGCTCTTGTGTATTTATCATCACAATGTCACAGCGTTAATTATCACTATCATCATTATAACCTTTTTTCTTTTTTCTTTTTTTCTCGGGGCGGGAGGGGTATCACTTATAATTGTTATCTTCATTATGATGTGTGCGAGCGGGACTGTTTGCAGTTGGTGTCAATATTTACCTTGTTATGATTTTTATAAAACTTCGTTCTCATTAATGTTGATGTTCGACAACCATTGCCATTATCATCGCTAGTGTTGCAAATATCCACACCAGCAGAAGCAGCTCCAAAGAATCACAGTGTGTGATTACGTACACACACATACATGCGCACACACACACATATATATATATATATATATATATATATATATATATATAATATATATATATATATATTATATATTATATATATGTGTGTGTGTGTGTGTGTGTGTGTGTGTGTGTGTTGTGTGTTGTGTGTGTGTGTGTGTATATATATATTTATTATATATATATATATATATTATATATATATATGTGTGTGTGTGTGTGTGTGTGGTGTGTGTGTGTGTGTGTGTGTGTGTGTTGTGTGTATACATATTATATTATATATATATATATATATATATTATATATATATATATATTATATGTGTGTGTGTGTGTGTGTGAGTGTGTGTGTGTGTGTGTGTGTGTGTGTGTGTGTGTGTGTGTGTGTGTGTGTGTGGTGTGTGTGTGTGGTGTGTGTGTGTGTTGTGTGTGTGCGTATGTGTGTGTGTGAGTGTATGTGTATACATATGTGTGTCTATATATATATATATATATTTATATATATATATATATATATATATATATATATATATATATATATATATATATTCATATAAATGTATGTGCATATATGTAGGTAGTTATATGTATATATATAATTGTGTGTGTGTATATATATATATTATATATATATATATATATAATATATATATATATATATATATATATATATATATATAT